TAGCCAGAGCGAACAGCTGACTGCCGCAGGGCGCCTCTCCGGCCTGCAGGCCACTGCCCGCAGCCCCGGCCCCCGTGCACCCGCTGATTCTCCACCCATCCACCCCCACTGCAACAGCATCAGGCCCGGCAAGGAGTGGCTCCCACCAAAGGACCAGGAAAAACACTGACCAGCAGAGCCTGGGCCCCGAGGCGGACCGCCAGGCGCCTGGGAAGCCCCATCTTCACGCCCCCATCAGCCAGGGCCTCCAGGGCTGTGAATGCCTGCAGGGAGAAGGCACTAAGCCATGGCCCTAGGCCCCTCCTCCTCCTCCAGACAACAGTGGGTCCAGCAGCTCTGCCCACTGCAGCCAGAGCAGGGAGCGGGGTGAGGACGTGCCCCAAGGGCCTGGGAACCGTCCACCACCACCAGTGGCCGCCCATCCCCGGTCCTCACGTAGGCTGGGCCGCTGCCACTGAGCCCCGTGACGGCATCAATCAGGTCCTCCTCCACCTCCGTGCAGAAGCCCACGCTACCCATGAGCTGCTCCAGGAGCCTGCCGTCCTCCACCTGGGCGTGGGGGCCCATGGCATACACGGTGGCCCCCTCTCGCACCACGACCGGCGTGTTGGTCATGCAGCGGATGACTTTGGGGGCTGGCTGGAACGCCGTCAGCTTCTGGAGGAGAAACCAGCTGTGTGTCTGTACCGCCCCTTGCCCAGCAGAGCGTGCTAGGCATGACTGAACGCGCTCGGGCAACTACGTATTTCCTGGCTTCTCGCTGTGGGCTGGGCCACTGTGCCCGTTTCACGGCCAGAGCTCCTGACCACCGTGCAGCACGCTGGCCTGGACCCACAGAGCTCACCTTCTCGATGGAGCTGATGGTGACCCCAGCAGCGCAGGACACCACGATGTGACGATCCTCAATGTCAGCGCCAATCTCGTCCAGGATAAAAGGGATGATGTGTGGCTTCACGGCCAGGAAGAGCACATCACTGTGCCGCACGGTCTCCTTGTTGTGGGGTGTCAGGTTCACTCCCAACTTCTGCAGGGAGCACCAACGTGGGCTCAGCCTGCCGACGTCACTGGCTGGCCCCCCTAGTATCCTCCCCAAGCTAAGAGCCCCACATGTAGAAGAGGACAGAGGTTGCTGAGAATGTGGACAGTCAGGGTAGGGGGCTCAGGGCATGGAGCTCTGACAGCCCCCAGCCACCCTTCCCACCCTGAAGTGGAAGAAGCTCTCTGCTCTGGAATACGTCCCTTTTGCAAACAGAAAAAGGGATATGTATCCATGCCACGGCCCTGATCCACCCCACCGTGGGCGACCGTCCTCCAGGGGTGAGTGGTGCTATGGGTGGCAGGTTCCCGGCTGGACATCTGGAGCCCTGATTCAGCTGTGGTAACCAAAGCTATTTCAGTCCCCAGATGTGTTCAACCTGGCCCTGACACTGTGGTCCCATCTGCCTGGCTCCCACAGCCCCTGTGGAGGCTCCATTTGGGGAACCCCATTCCAGTCCGGCACACCCCCCCCACCAGCTGCACGTGTGCCTGTCACCCAGGTTCCGAGAGCCGAGCAAGGGGAGCCACCAGCAGGCCAGGAGGCAGGGTCTGTGGGATACTACAGCATCTCATGGGGGGGGGCATGGTGTCTCCCACTGGCCCTTTACACCTGCGGCCCTCAGGGTCAAGGCGATCCCACTCTCTTCCCAGACACACCAACTAGCCCCTTCGGGGACTGCCTCCCTGTCCCCCTCCACCCTGCACCTACGCGGAGGGCAGAAACGGTGGCCAGTTCCATGTCTGGGGAGCTGGCCATGATCTTGTGGGCAGCCAGGATGCCTGTGGGTAACAGAGATCCTTCCTCAAGGCCTGTCCTGGCCTCCCCCCATCACATTCCCAGGAAGGAAAGTGGAAATCCCACCACCCAGATAAGACAGCAATCCCTGCCCCACCCCCAAACATCCCAAGGCTGCCATTTCCCACAGGACTGAAACAGGGCAAGTTTTCCAGACCCGAACCTCACCCCCAGCCGGTAGAAGGGTAATGGCCCACCCCAGCACTCCACGGCCTCCGGGCTAAAGGGCCTACCTGCGGCTGTGAAGCCCTTGGCCAAGGCGAAGGCCAGCTGGCCAGCTCCGATAAAGCCCACGCTCATGTTGTCTGGGGCCCCGCCCACAGGCCTCGCAGCTGGCACGGGCGCTGGGGGGCGCTGGGGGAGCAACTGCGGGGCGAGATGGGGCAGGATCCAGAGCAAGAAGTTGGGCGGGCAGCGCCAGGCCTGGCCGCTGGCCCCGCGCCCATCCCCCCGCTCCCACCGCCATCCCAGCCGGTCCAACTTTCCCCGACGCCGCCCGCCAGCTCCGACGTGGCAATCGCTCCAGTCTCCCTGCCCACAGTTTGCCCCCGACGGTCCCGGACAGAGGACACGGGGAGGGGCGTGCCGGCCTCCGGAAGGGGTCGGACAGCCGCGGGGGGCGACGGCTCGGAGCCCGGAGGCCCCCCAGGCCCGAGCTGGTGTGCAAATGCGCCTCTCCCCGTGCACCGCCCCCACCCACACCTGACCCCAGCTCCGCGCCCACTCACCCACTCACCGCGCTCAGGTCGCCCCGGAGCCGCGGAGCCGCGCCCGCCACGCGGCACCCGAGCCTCGTCGGCCCCGCCCTCGTCGCTCCAACCAATGGGCGGCGCGGCCGCCAGGCGCCGGCCAATCGAGGGGCGCGGGAGGCTCCGGGGCGGTTGCATCATCCTCTCGCCCCGCGCTCACGCCCCTGCCGCCGCGGCCCAGCCTCCCCGCGCCCCCGCCCCCCGCCCCGGTCCGCGCCCCCGCGACCGCGCGTGGGGACTGAGCGCGCCGGGGCTGCGGCTGGCGCGGGCCTCCGAGGAGCGGCCGGGGCGGAGGCTCCCCGCGCGGGGCCTGGTAGTGGGCCACGCGCACACGGGCACGCCAGGCTGGTGTCCTCAATCGCGTGGCCGGGGCTAGCTGTTACTTGATCAAACTGGAGAAGCCCAAACTGTATAACATTTTTGCTTGCTTGCTTTTCTTTTCCTTTTTTTTTTTTTTTTTTGTGGGAGGCTTGAAAACAATTTGCAAAATGGAAACATATTAAAATATAACACTATTTTGATACTGTGTTTTGTCGCTTTAAAATTTGTTTATTGTACCGAGAAGCTTGGACACTGGAGAGGATAGCCTAAGCCTTTTCAGAATCTCAAAATAGGGGGGCCCCTGGGAGGTCTAGGTCAATCCCTCTGAGATCCAGACCCTCTTTTTCCCAACTGGGGTTTTCTCTGCAAGTCTTCCCCGCCCCCCCCCACCCCCGGAGGCCATAGCCTGTACCATGTAAACCTCCCCAAACAGGTGCTTGGGGTGGGTAGTGATCAACCAGTCAACAGAAGATGAGATCCCATAGTGCCCCCCAGCTCCTGTGGAGCACCCCCACATCTCCTGACATCTTGTCTGCAGTGTCCATGGAAATTTTTGCCCCTGCATTTGGAGAACAAGTCATTTTTCCCCTGAGGATGTGTTCAGGGCTCAAGTGAGTTGAGTTTGCATTTGGGGTTTAGGATAGTCCAGGGTCCCAGTCAGCAGAAGGATTAAGGGCAAAGTAAGAAGTAATAGCCATTGGGAACCCAACCACCACCACCGGGATCCCCGCCCCGCCCAGGGGAAGGGGTGACCTGCTTTATTTTTTCAGTTCTGTATCTTAAATGGTAACAAGCTGTTCTCAAACATGATCCGGCATTACCCTGATGTTTGTGCCCCAGAAGCAGGGCTGTGAGCTCTTGTGGACACAATGGTGGCCACCAACGCCAACAGACCACTGGGTAGTGATGGTGCATGCAAGCTGGATCTCCTGGCGTCCACTGCATGGGTGCATCTGAACATTCAGTCCTTACCGTCTGAGGGAGGGGCCGTAGCAAGAGGCCCTTCTCCAGTTGGCACCCCCAGGATCCATGCCCACCAAACCTCACGACCCGAGTGCCCCCTGAGACTCCCGCCCACCAACATCTGCCCCATGACCCCACCCCACTTGTCCAAAGTGGACTGTCTGGGGAGTGGTCCAGACTCAAACCCGTAGGCATAAATCCAACAGCCCCCCCTGAGTATTGCCTGATTGGACATAATCAAAAGACAGAACCCTTCCTTTAAAAAAGTACTGTTTTTCAGTGATAAGGACAAATAACTCCCTCCTCCAAAAAGAAAAGGTCCTCCCACCCAGGGAGTGACTGTTGGCAGGAACATCCCAAGGCAAGCCTCCTGGAGGACTTCTGCCATGTTTATCTTGAGCCCTGGATCCCCCCTCCTTTGTCTTCCCCACAGGACCTTTAAAATTTAGGGTAGGTGGAGCACTGGGTGCACAAGGCCACTGGACAATGAGGAGACTGGGGAGCTGGTGACCATTTCAGAAGTTTGGCTAGAAAAGGAGGAAGACTGGTCCACCTCCAGGCCTCCCTGTGAGCTAGGAAGGATGCGGCCCATATGCTCATTTGTCACCTGGAGATGGACCCCCTGGCCCCCGCTCTCCCCCAGCCAGTGAGGGCTGTCAGGACACCTCAGGACACACTGGCTCCTGGTCCCTTTGGGGATCGGCTGTTGAGCCAATAACACCTGCCCCCCTCCAGATAAAGGACCCCTGTCAGTGCGTCCTCCCTACCAGGCAGGCGAGTCGCCCCCCTCGTGCTCTGCATGGCGCCAGCACAAGGGAGCCTGTGGAACCCATGGCTATGCCCTGCCCCTGGCAAGCCCCTGCAGGAGTGTGGGGTGCTGGTGAGCACCACTGGAAGGGGGGAGACAAGCTCGGCTGCACCCTCACCTCCCCACCCCCATTGCCCACAGAGGGAGAGGACAATGCCTGTTCCTTCCTCGGGAGGCTGCCCCTCAGCCCAAGGGGCACCTCCTCCCTCAGTCAGGCCCAGTCTTGGCCCGTCTCCCCGCTCACACTGGGTCACACTGGGGGGATGGCCCAGGAGGTGCAGCTGGCCATCGTCCCCTGGGCAGAGACTGCTCACCAGAGCCAGGATGCGTGTCAACATTGGCCTTTATTTCCTGCTCAAGGCCCCAGGACGGGCCACGGGGCTGCTGGACTCAGGGGCGGCCCAGTCCGGGCTCCTGAGCAGGAGGAGCTGGAGTGTGGCAGGGCTCAGCTCCAGTGGGCCCTGGTGGTCAGCGGCCAGGTGAAAGGATACTTGAGCGGAGATCGTGGGCCTGTGAGCACTAGGGAGGTGCCCGGCGCCCAGGCTCTGTGACCCAGCGGCTGCCCCCGGCTGGGCCCTCCCCCTGGGTGGGGGCTGCCCCAGACTCGCCTGTCTAGGGCCCACAGCAGGCCCTGCAGAAGCTGCCGCCCTGGGGCTGATGGTGGGTGCCTGGTGGGCACTCCCTCCCTGGGCGGGAACCCGGCTTCCCCTTGGCATTCTGTGCTCACTGCGGTGCTGCCAACGCCCTGTGGGCTCCTGCAGGCCCCCGGCACTGTCTCCAGCCTGCCGAAGCTGCCGTGTGTGACCACACCATGATTCCTGTTCTTCCTAAGGCCACTCCGAGGTGGGCAGGGAGGGGTCCCCACGGCGAGCTCCTTCTCTTTGAGCTGGTACAGAGCCCCCCAGCAGCGCCCTGCTGAGACCGCTGTCCTTCCCACACTCCTGGGAACCGTCCCCTTTTCAACTCTACTTAGGTCATGGCCTGAATGTGGTCTCCAGACACTGGGCACATGGGGCTGCCTCCAAACCCTAGCCTCGATGTCCACATCTATAAAGTGGGTCACAACAGCATCTGCTTCAAAGGCTTCTCATGTTGCAGTAGGGAGCACTGAGCCAGGGAGGGCCAGGAAATGGAGAGAAAGCGTGAGCGAGATACAGACAGAGATAAGAGATATACACAGAGAGATAGACCAAGAGACAGAGAGGGGCTGGGAGCTGCCTGGGGGAGGAGGATGCTTGCCTGTGTCCTGCTCAGGGCCTTCTGCCCCTCTGTCTCCCCTTCCCCCCTCCCCCAGGCTGGCCAGAAATCCAGGAGTGGCTCTGGTGGTTGCCTGCCTCGGGCTTGCTCCCTGGGCATCTGGGTTCACCCGGGTGGCCCTCACAGTGCCTAGGGCCCCTGGAGAGCCCTGGCAGGCAGGCAGCTACAGGGTGGGCACGAAGCGGATCCTCTGGGAGTAGGCGAGGTCGGCGATGTACAGGAGCAGGTTGACGTAGGTGAAGGTGGCCACCACCAGCTGGCTGTCCCAGGAGCAGCTGCCTTGGGGGCAGTCGGGGGGCCGCCCAGGCTCACCATACTTGGGGTCGAAACAGAAGACGGGCCAGATCACAGCTGCGCTGAGGTAGAGGAGCACGGCCAGGAAGGTGTACACCACCACCAGACGGTCGAAGGGGCAGCCCAGGCCCCCCGTGTGGCCCGTCACGCTCAGGGCCACCACGGCCACCGTGGCCAGGAAGCACAGGCTGTAGACGGCCACGCACCACTGGGTGGCCACGTAGCGCCCGTAGCGGCTGTCGTGGACGAGCGCCCCGAAGATGATGCAGGCCACGAAGGCCTGGACGATCTTGAGGAGCCCCGAGACCGTGGCCATGTAGCTGGCCACCTGGCCCGGCCGGGCCCGGGTCAGGGCTACCTCCGCAGCGTAGGCCAGGAAGAGGAGCCCGGCAAAGACGCTGGCGGCCAGGCGGAAGTCCCTGGCTGCGCAGCCCGTGGGCTCGGGGGGGCACTCCAGCCGGGTGAAGTACAGGGGGTAGATGATGGCGGCCGTAGCGGACAGCAGCGTGGCCAGCATGGCGAAGGCCGCGGTGAAGTTGCCCCAGGACAGGTGCAGGCAGCTGTGCAGCTGGGTGAACTCACAGGCCAGCACGAGGCCGGAGAGGGCGAAGCAGAAGCCCCACGCAGCCATGCAGAAGGTGCCCTGGACGCCCGCGAAGCCGCCCCGGTGGGCCACCAAGCTGAAGGTGGTGCAGCCAAAGGCCAGCTGCAGCACTCGGGCCGTGCCCACGGGGGACGTCACAGCGCCTAGGTGCAGGTACCCACCCCCGGGGGGCTCCATGGTGCTGCCCATCTGGCCGGCCTGGTCCTCGCCTCACTGGCTGCCCGCTGGCCCTGGCGGCCCGGCTCTCCGCTGTGCCCGTGGAGACAGGTGCCGGCAGCCTGCAGTAGCGGTGATGAGGACGCCGCCTGACATTGCAGCAGAGGGCCGCCTCTCCGCGGCCTGTGCGGGGCGGGCGAGCACCCCACCCCCACCCCACCCCCACCCCGCACTATAAATAGGTGGTCACGATTGGAGCCCCGGAATAGCAGCCGGGTGTGTCTGTCCCCAACCCCCAGGGTCATCTGACCCCTGCGTCCCACCGCCAAGCCCCTGCCAGGACCATTAACCCCTTGGCTGCTGGCACCGGCCCACCTCCGAAGCACCTGCCTCTGTCGGTCAGTTGGCTCCCCGGCCTGCGGGGGAGGGGGAGGGAGAGCTGCAGACAGGGAAGGTGGGCTCAGAAGCCTCCAGGATCACCCCTGGGAGGAGGGAGGACGATCTTCGGGAGGCCGGGGGAGCAGTGGGGGCTGGGATGGTTTCAGGACCCTGCTGTCCGAGTCCCTGGGGCTCTTGCTCAGCTTGATCTCCTGGAGGTGTTGGGACTGACCCCGGGGGGCATAGAGTTTTAATTATCATTTGGGGCTTTGTTATGGAACTCTTCACTTGTCTTTCCTCAATTATAATAATGCTTAGAAAAAACTCGGGTCTCCCCTCTTTAAGCTGAGGTATTAACAGTATATGAAATGATTTTGAAAATGAAGAACAATTTTCTGACTGTAAAGGTTGTCCATATGAAGGCCCTGTCAATACAGGAAAAGACAAAAAAAAATCCCATGTAATTCTGTTCCCCAGCTCAGCCACTGGGACCATCCTGCATACAATATACATCCTTATGCATATTTCTCTTGACTTTTTTTTTTTTGACAGTGATGGTCGTTTTCTTTTCTTTTTTTTTTTTTTAAGATTTTATTTATTTATTTGAGAGAGAGAATGAGATAGAGAGAGCATGAGAGGGGGGAGGGTCAGAGGGAGAAGCAGACCCCCCGCCGAGCAGGGAGCCCGATGCGGGACTCGATCCCAGGACTCCAGGATCATGACCTGAGCCGAAGGCAGTCGCTTAACCAACTGAGACACCCAGGCGCCCTCTCTTGACTTTTCATTTAGAAAAATCTCAGAGTTACAGAAGAGTTGCAAGATAATACAATGAACACTCAGATATCTTTCACCTAGATTCAAAAATTATTATTATTATTTTTAAAAATTTTATTTATTTATTTGTCAGAGAGAGAGCGAGAGTGCACACAAGCAGGCTCCCTGCAGGGAGGCTGACGCAGGACTCGACCCCAGGGCCCCGATCATGACCTGAGCCGAAGGCAGATGCTTCACCGACTGAGCCACCCAGGTGTCAAGAATTATTAATTCAAAATTAACTATAGATTCAAGAATTATTAATATTTTGCCCTATTTGTGTTCTCTCTCCCCCACACCATTAATAATTAATAATGCTAATTAATTTTGGGGACACCTGGGTGGCTCAGTCGGTGAAGCATCTGCCTTCGGCTCAGGTCATGATCCCAGGGTCCTGGGATCAAGCCCCACATCGGGCTCCCTACTCAGTAGGAAGCCTGCTTCTCCCTCTCCCGCTCCCCCTGCTTGTGTTCCCTCTCTCGCTGTGTCTCCCTCTGTCAAATAAATAAATAAAATCTTTTAAAAAATCCTAATCAATTCTGCAGATATGGTGATTTGCCACTAGATACCTCTATGGACACCTCCTAAGAACAAAGCCATTCTCCTACAGTTGGGAAATTTTTTTAAAAAGATTTTATTTATTTATTTATTTGACACAGAGAGAGTGAGAGAGAGCACACAAGCAGGGGGAGCAGCAGAGGGAGAGAGAGAAGCAGGCTCCCCGCTGAGCAAGGTGCCCAACTGGGGGGGGGGGCGGCTCTATCCCAGGACTTTGAGATCATGACCTGAGCCAAAGGCAGACCAACTGAGCCACCCAGGTGCCCCCACAATTGGGAAATTAAAGAATGATCACTTGATACATGGTCCTTATTCAATTTTCTCAATCTATCCCCAAAATATACTTTATACCTTTTATTAATTTAATTAATTAATTTTATTATTATTTTTTTAAAGTAGGCTTCATGCCCAGCATGGAGCCCAGTGCGGGGCCTGAACTCAGGACCCTGAGATCAAGACCTGAGTTGAGATCAAGTGTCTGACGCTCAACCAACTGAACTACCCAGATGCCCTCTATACCTTTTAAAACGTTTTAAAACATTTGCACCAGAATCTCATTGGGAGTATGCATTGCATTGGTCTGTCATGCATTGGTCTGTCATGTCTGTCAGTTTCCTTTATTCCGGAATAGTCTGTAGCCCCCCATACACACTGTCCTTTTGAAGAGTCCAGGCCAGTGTCTTCATAGGCTTTCAATGTGTATTGTCTGTCTGCCTGTTTCCCTGCGGTTAGATTCTGCTAAATGCTCTTGGCAGGAAAACCAGGGTGTCTGTCGGGAGAATTGTGACAGGGAGGGTCCAGAGCATGGGAGCTGGGCCGTCTGCTTGGAGTGGTGTCCCCACTTCACGTGTCCACGTCTCCATTTCCTGCCGTCCTCTCGGGGTCTCAGCAGCCGTGGGGGCCTCTTGTGGACAGTGTTCTTGGCGAACACACACACAACCCCCTCTAACAGTGGAACTGTGGTGGTCATCTGACCTGACGTGCCTGTTTATGATTTTTTCAGAACAGTTAATATAATCGTAAAATAAGGGATTCTCATTGGTTCTCACGTCTTTAATCTTCTGAGATAGCGTCTGGACGCTACAGGGTGGGTAGGAAGGCCTCGCAAGGCAGCCCCTTCCATGGAGTGTCCTCTTCCTGCTCACTGGGGAGCCTGGCCAGCTCACTCACACTCAGGAGGAAGTCTCCGTCCCTGGGCAGCACCGTATGCGCCCTTGGGAAGGACTGTCTGCTTCATCCCTCCACGTGTCCGCAGCTCATGACCCTGGGCAAGGGAGCAAGGGCGACATGGGCCTCTGGCGTGGGGGGTGCAGGGAGGATGGTTTCAGCTGCCACTGCCTTGTGACCACAGGGAGCTGGAAGGAAATCCTCTCGATCGGAGCAGACAGTTTCATTTATCTCAAGCAGACATGTGCCACGCTTCAGCCAAAGTTCATAACTTAGCAAATCCTAACAGTGAACCCAGCGGTGTTTCTCAACCACAGTAACAGTTGCTGGGGCACCACCCTTCCTGCCCTCCCCCGAGGGGTCCAGCCTGGAGCACCTGAAACCTTGGGAATCTCGGGAAGACCGGGCTCAGCATTGTCAGCGCTGGGGGGTGTCCCTGGGTGCCCGGGGATGGCCAGCCCAAATATGCAGGCAGAAGGCAGCCTCCCAGGACCCTGGAGCAGGGGTGGTGAGTGAGGGGGGTCCTCCCTTCCTGAAGAGACATGGCGGGGACCTCCAACTGCCAGCACGGAGATGCCTGGAAATCAGGTAAACATGGAGCGGGGAAATGCTGGGGAGGGACTGGCATGACGGCAACAAGAGTATCCCAGGGAGCCTGGCCTGCAAGCTGACCTGACAGTGACCACGGAGCCCAAGTAGGGCAGTGTCCTGGGATCAGCGCCCATGGCTGTCCCACAGCCCCCACTGGACGCCTGTTGGCCCCGCAGAGCAAGGGTCAGCGTGCGGGTGCTGAGTGGGAGACCTTCATGAGGGAGCTGGGTCTCAGACGCCAGGTGCGCACACCCGTCTTTATCATCCTGCTCTCTGTGGGGAAACTGAGACCCGTGGCCACCCCCGGGGGAGGGGGTCCCCATGGCATGGGGGCCCTGCCCAGACTCAGGTCCTCGGTGTCTGCCCTTGGCTTTGCTTCTCCTCATCCCTAAGGGGCTGCTGTGCCTAAGTCCGGGCGAAGCCCCTGCTGGCCACTGGACCACCAGCTTTTCCCCAGCCCCCCAGGGGGGCGGAGCCAAGCCCTGAGTTCTCTGTGATGAAGCAGGGCAGAGGCAGAGGGGTCTGCTCCACCGTGGCCCTAGTGCCTGAGTCCTGTCTGTTTCCCCCTTCTCAGTTCTTACCCACTCCCTGTCTGTAAGGGACCTTCAGAGTTGGAGAGCAGATCACAGCAAAGTCTACGTCCTGTGCTTTGCCAGTCGGGCTTGCCTGCCCACAGCGCCCATGAGGTCCTCCCCACGGTCTGCTTGGCCACCCTACCCTGGGATCTTCTTCGTGGCTGGGACAGTGGTGAGGACCCCTGGGGGCCTGACACGGGACATGCTCCAGATTCCAGACCCCGGCTCCCCACGTGCATGGCGCGAGGCTGGTGATGACGTCTGTTCTCAAGCCTTCACTAACTTGTCACCATAGAAAAACACTAAGGTTCTAGCTGCTCACAGTGTGGAAATAGCAGCAAAATTTCAAGTGAATTTAGCCTTTCTGGGGGAGTCAGGGAAAGCCCCCATAAAGCAGGAACAACTTGGCTGTGAGCTCGATGACATTAAGCAGGTGTCCACGGGGCAGAAAGGATGGTGTGGCTGCTCCGTGTGCTCAGGGGACACAGAGGCTTGGAAGCCAGACTTCTGGGTTCTGGGTTCTGGGTTCTGCTCAGGTCCCTCTCAGGCCCACGGTGGCCCCGATGTCTGGGCAGAGCTGGTCAGACGCCCCGGGCACGGCCCCTGACCTTGCTGGGAGTGAGGGTGTGGGGTCTCTGAGATTCTCCCCATTCTGGGGACAGGTCTGCCAACTCCTGCCATCTGTGGCGGGAGGCTGGGTGCGGAGCCCAGGCTGACCTGACAAGGATCCTCCCTCTGTCACATGGCCTCTCCAGGGGCTTTAATAAAACCTGCTCGAGGGCCGCTCGGGGCCATGCGCTGGGGTGCCTGAAGCAGGGAGTGCTCAGGAAGCCCAGAGGGTGGAGCAGTCCCACCTCTGGGGCTTTGACCCAGGCGCCTGGTGATGTCGTGCAGCCCAGCCCTGGGGGGCACGGCGGGGAGCATCGTGCCCACCCGCAGCTCGCCGAGGGCTGCAGACACAGGGGTGGCAGCAGAGTGTGGGCACATGTGTGCTGGGATGCCGGCCCCCGGGACCACCCGCAGCAACAGGAACGCTTGTGCTCTGGGAAGCAGAGCGGGGGCTGGGCCGGGGGAGGTTTTCTCCCCGAATCTGTATCTTCGCGTGTGCCCGGGGCACTCGTGAGAACAGATGCGATGCAAACTTTTAAGAACATGTTCTCTGGCTGGGAGTGTTTCCTGGGGTGACAAAAGGCCGCACTGAGGTTTCCGGGGTAACACAGTGCTGACAGTGCGGGGGTCGAGGCGCCGTGTCCCCAGATGGGGCAGAGTCGGATGTGACCGCTGTGTTAGGGCCTGTGCTGTGCCCACGCCCCGTGCTTGCTGAGCGTGTGAACGGAAGGGTCTGGAACGGGACACAGGTGGGCGTGGGGCCCTGAACAGAACCTGTGTGTCCAGTGGCTGCCCCCCAGGATCCCTGCTGCCCTGGGGGTGGGCTCGGGGGCTGTGCGGTGGGCACGCGACCCATTCAAATAAACACGCCTGCAGGGTGAGGCTCTTTTGTTGTCTTTTTTTTCATTATTTAAAAAAAATATGTTACAAAACAGTATCATTAATCATATATTTCTTATTTTCCTTTTTAAAAAAATTAAAGTAATAAAAAAAGTCACTTTATAAAATAATACAAAAGGCCAGGAGAGGCTGAGGCTGGGGCTGGACCGGGGGCCCCTTGGGCTGGTGGGCCGGTGGGCCGGAACCCCGCACGGGGGGCTCCTCAGCGCAGGCAGGAGGGGGGCTAGGGCTCCCGGCAGGACCCAGGACTCCCGGCTCTGGCTGGGCCTCCCGAAGGCAGTTGTAGAGGGGCAGTGAAGGCAGCTGTGGGGACAGCCGGGGCCCTGCGTGTCCTAGGAGGGGCAGGGGAGCCCGGGGAGGTGGCTGGCCCCCAGTGCCAGCCCCCGGGGCCAGGAGCCCTAGCTCCCACTGCTGAGCATGCCCAGCAGTTTACTGGGCTCCAGGCCCTGCTGCTGCGCCGCGGTCTGCACGTCAAACCCCATGTGCATGAGGAACTGGGCCACGTTCATCTCCTGCCCCGTGAACTGGTCCCGGATGGTGGGGCAGGAGGGGTTGCAGTGAGGCCAAGGGCAGCTGTCCACCAGGTGGACGGGGCAGCCCTTCAGGGGAGCTTTGCTGGCCTTGTGGCTGTCGTGCAGGCTTCTGTCCCAGCAGTGCAGCGCCCGGGGCAGTGAGGTCCCCTTCACCTGGACGTCTGTCCAGTGGCTACAGACAGAAATCCAGGCGGGGGTCAGTTGGTGTGGCCAAAGCAGGCTACCACGGGAGGTGGGTTGGGTCTGAATTCTGGCCACACAGCTGGTTGTGGACGTGGCACTGACAGCCCTAGGAAGCCCTTCCATGGAGCAGGGAAGGCAGGTGGCTAGTGGATGGGGCGGGGCTGGGTGTTCAGAGCGAGAGCCAGGGACACCATCTCTCCAGGGCCTGCGGACACTGACCTTCGGATGATGATCTCGTGAGAGAGGCAGGCGGGGGCGAAACTGGCCCTGTTGGGGAGGAGACAGCGGCTTATAGCGACCACCTGGGCCTCTTCCCTGCCCCAGCCTGGTGCCCTCTCCCCTGGGGACCTGTCCTCTCCCCGGCTCCCGCCTCCCTTGTGCAGCCGTGCCTGGCGAGCTGCTCCTCGGGACCAGGCCTCTCCCCACCTGTCCACATGCTCCCGACTAACCCACGTCTCCCCCCGCCTCCAAACCCTGCTCCGAGCGCATCCCTTCCCGCTGGGCCACGGTGGGAGGCTGACCTGGACGTGTGCTTTTTTTTGTGCAATAGGCTTTATTTCTAGAGCAGTTTTAGGTTCACATCAAAATGGCGTGGGCGGTACAGAGATTTCCCGTGCACGCCCGCCCCGACTCGCACAGCCTTCCCCGCAATCAGCGTCCCACCAGATGGTGTGTCTGTCACACTGAGGAGCCCGCACGGACCCAGGATCATCACCCAGAGCCCAGGGCGTACGTGAGGGCTCGCGCTCACTGCTGTGTGTTCTACGGGTTTGCACAGATGTATAATGACACTCGTCCACCCTCGTGTCTCACACAGAGCAGTTTCACTGTCCTAAAATTCCTCTGTGCTCTGTTCACCCTCCCCCCTTTCCAGTTCTATCCTTGGTACCAATTGATCTTCTTACTGCCTCACAGTTCTGCCGTTTCCCCCGAATGTCACGGGGTTGGAATCATAGGCCATGTAGCCTTTTCCAGATTGGCTCCTTTCTCCCGGTAATACGCATCTACGTTTCCTCCACGTCTTTCCGTGGTCTGAAAGCTCCCTTCTTTCTAGTGCTAACACCCTTTGTCTGGACGGCTGGATGGCTGCTTCTTGTTCTGCCGTCTGTGAGACCCCTATCTTTAGCCCGAGGATTTTTTTTAAATTTTCATTTTTTTGATTATGTTAATCACCGAACATCACATCATCAGTTTTTGATGCAGTGTTCCATGATTCATTGTTTGTGCATAACACCCAGTGCTCCATGCAGAACGTGCCCTCCTCATTACCCATCACCAGGCTAACCCATCCCCCCACCCCCTCCCCTCTAGAACCCTCCGTTTGTTTCTCAGAGTCCACAGTCTCTCATGGTTCGTCTCCCCCTCCGATTCCCCCCCTTCATTCTTCCCCTCCTGCTACCTTCTTCTTTTTTCTTTAACATACAACGTATTATTTGTTTCAGAGGCACAGGTCTGTACCTCTGAATTCACAGTGCTCACCAGAGCACACACCCTCCCCAGTGTCCATCACCCAGCCGCCCCATCCCGCCCATAAGCCCGAGGGTTTGCCACACGTCTGGAGGGCTGAGTCGGCGGCCCTCGGTTCACTCACGGCACATCCTTGAGCGAGTCCCGCAGCTCGCGGCCTAGGTTCTGGATGTACAGCCACTGACCCTCCTGCACAGTCTGCCCCGTGAGGTGCACGTTGTCCACAGTCAGCTGGGCCTCGTCGAACAACCACTGCACCACAAACACTGGGCCTGGGGGGCAGAGCTCAGCTGGGCCTTGCCTCGGCACTTGGCCCCCCAGCCCAGGCTAAGGGCCTTTGTAGGCTCACAGACCAGCTGGGCTCCCCCCAGAGTGCTGGCCACCAGCCCCCCGCAGCACCCTTGCTTGAGGAAGACCCTTGGCACCCACCCCCACCCCTCCCCCAGCCTGGCCCCCAGGGACTCCGCTTTGACCAAAGCTTGGTGACGCTGCCCCTTCGACGGTGGAGAGGAGGAGGGACAGCCAAGGCCCCACCAAGGGCAGGACTCGGCTGCCAAGCACATTCCTCACTGTGAATGTGGACGGGGTGACCAACTGTCCTCGTTTGCCTGGGACCAAGTGGACTTCCAACGCTGAGACCAGGAAGGTCCCAGGCAGACCCGATGGCTCAGGCACCCCGCTCCCATGTGGGCGGGCAGGGCTCTCCAGACCGACCTCTAGACTCCAGGCTGGAGGAAGCCGAGACTGACGCTCCCTGCCCCCCGCCCCCCGCCCTGGCCCGTGGGCCCCTCACAGCGCAGTGTCGGGTAGACTTTGTAGCCAAAGAAGCAGTTCCACTCCTCTCCATCCTTGAACTGGTGCCGACAGCGCTCCGGGACCACCCCGTTCCAGTACCTGGGTACATGCCGTGGGTCAGGCGGCCCCCGGCCCCCCCCGGCACTCTGCACAGGAGCTGGTGGGCCCAGCCAGCATCCCAGCGTCTGGCACCTGATGCCGCGGCGTATGGCCTCCGTGGGCGCACAGGTGACCGTGTTGATGCAGTCCGTGTGACGGTACTGCTGGTTGTCCAGGAACCAGCCCGAGTCCGCCAGGCCCCGCACCTGGATGGCCGGGTAGCCCAGCTCCTCCAGCTGCTCGGCCACGCGGTCCACGTTCAGCAGCACCCCTGTGCCCCCCGCGCTGCGGAGAAGGCAGCACGTGAGGCCGGCTGCGGCCCCAGAACCCGCCTGCCCCCAGCCCAGCCCCCGGGACAGGCAGGGATCCCGATGCACTCTGAACTGCCATCGGGCTCCACGTCATGTGTGAGACCCACAGGCCTTTTGGGGGCTCAAAGGCACTGACCCCAAGGCAATGAGCTAAGCGGCAGGCCATTCCGCTTCCTCCCACTCCTCTTTCCCTTCTCTCTCACTCTCTGATTCAGTTTCCTTATCTGCAAACGAAGGTGACATATATGGCCTCAGGCCCCGTCATCTAGTCTATAGATGTCCTCTGGGCCCCCTGCACTCCCAGAGGATGTGACCCTGGACCTCTCCCACCCTCCACCGGCTGCTTTGGCCTAGGGATGATCCCACTCACAGGGACCCCGGCCCTTGGAGAAGGCGCCCTTGTCCACAGCTAACCCCTCACCGACGACCTAGGTCACTGTAGCCCCTTCCCTGGCATCCAGCCACCCTCCCGCTGCCGCTGCCTGCCCAGGCTTGGTGAGGCGGGAGCCCTCCAGAGTCCCAGGCTCTGCCCCTCCTTGCCCTCCCATCCCCACTCCCGCCTGCGCACTCACGCCCCGCCCTGCCTGGCTCACCTGCTCCCAGCCAGCAGCAGCACCTTGGCCCCGCTCAGCCCTTTGCCCAGGAGCTCTCGGACCACCTCCTGGATGATGAGCGCGCCCATGAAGGCATACTCATCTGCATGGGGGAGGAGGGTGGCTTTAAGCGGGGGCCTGGACAGAGAGCAAGGCCCCCTGCCTCCAGGTTGGAAGGAGCAGCTCTAGCTGGGGGCCTGGACGCTCTTACAGGGGCTGGGGCAAGGGCTGGGGTGAACTGGAGGGAGGTGGACAGGTGCCGAGGCTATGCTGGGGGCCCCTCCCCAGGGAACATCCAGGAGTGCGGACCCCGGCAGGGACCAAGCCAGCCGTGGACAACCGGCAGTGGGTGCTTGGGGCAGGCATCCTGGGACACACTGTCAGGGGATCAGATGGAGTTACGAGACCGGCCGCCCTGCCTTGTCTTTCGGGGGCAGGGAATAGAAAAGAAGACAAGGGACTCACTCTTCTCAGACTTGGATGAAGCCCCACTCCAGACATCGCTGGAGCAGTAGGGGATGAAGCTGTGACACAAGGACAGGGTGAGCTTGCCACCATACTCCTCCCCTGCCCAAGGCCCTCAGGAAGGACCCCCTCCCCAGGAAGGATCCTGAGGACAGGACCCCCTAGGAAGGACCCCTCTGAGAACAAGATCCTCCCAAGGACAGGACCGCCCAGGGAGGACTCCCCCCCGCCATAAGGGCCCTCCCCAAGGAGGACCACCCCCCATGGGACTCCTCAGGAAAGAACTCCCTCACAGATGGGATCCCCCCCCAGGAAGCACCCCTCTGCTCCCTCTTACACCATGTTGGCATTCCACCAGTGGGGGTTTTCCTCCGGCTGGGAGGACAGGATCCCTGTACCTGCAGTGGGGGAGGACAGAGGCGGTGGTCTTTCTGATGGGAAGGGGCGTGCGGCAACCGGGACTACAGGAAGGCGTAGGATGTGGGCGATCCTACTTGGCCACAAGGCAGGTGGGCCAGGCCAGTCACTTGGATGTGACCCTGGACCTCTCCCACCCTCCACCGGCTGCTTTGGCCTAGGGATGAGTGGTGGACAGAGCAGCCATGGTAAGCCCCCCCTCCCCCCCCCCCGGGGAAATTACCTGTGGGATGAGAATGAGAGATGACAGGTGGGAGCCCCTGACCTTAGGAGGGCTAGAGAACTGGGGGGTGGGCGGGGTGGGGGCCTCCCCAGGGCTCTAGAAAGCGAGGGGACAGGAGTTCTTCCAGAACTTGGAACTGGGAGCCCCACCCTGCCCTGCCCAACCCGCAGGCGGCAGCCCCGGGCAGTCCGAGGCTTGCGACTTGCTGACCTGTGCGGGTGCGCGGCCAGTCTCTGGAGCTCATGAGCCGCCGCATGGTGTCATAGCGGGAGTCGCAGTTCTCCCGGTTGAAGCAGTACCAGCCACCTGCGAGCACAGCCATGACCTCAGGGCCGAGCACCCAGGGGCCTCCGCCCGCCTCGCCGCCTGGGCTCCCGGGACGCACCTTCCAGAAAAAGGAGCCACCGCCGACTGCCCTTGGATTCCTTCAGGTAGTAGCTGCAAGGGGGGAGGGAGGGACGGGCGGACAGGGTGGTCGGCTGGGGCTGCAGGACCCAGCTCTGGGGAGGAAAGGGTCATTCCACCTGTCGCCGGGCGCACGCGCCGGCCGCACGGGGGCGCCAGCGGCCAGGTCCCGCGGAGCGCGCGCGGCCCCGCCAGCGGTGGCCCGTCCCGGGAGGTGGCGCTCGCGGGGCGGAAGGGCCGCGAGGGGCTGTGTGGTCCGTGGAAAATCCCCACGGCCCGCCCCGCGCGGGACCCGCTGTAACCTTGGCGCCGGCGGCCGGGCGGGGGGAGCGGTCTTCGCCGGGCTCGGGATCTCCTGGGACGCGCGGTGGTGCTTGGAGACTGAAAAGAGCCCTCCCTAGACGAGTGTGCGTGGGGTGGGGGACCCGGGACCCGCGACCCGCCAGGAGGCCGTGGGAGGGCACGGGTGTCACCGGGCCCCGACCTAACGTCTGGTCCTCCGGCTGTCGACTAGCTGAGGGTGTGGGGGGCCCCGACCCCTCCCCAACCCTCAGGCTTACATCCTTCCTTCATATACTTGGCGGCCGGAGAGGGGTGAATGCCGCACCCCAGGTCCTTCTGTCCCACCTGCGCCCCTTCCCTGTCCCTCTGGCTGGCTGGGATCCCAGGCAGTCCCGGCAGCAGCAGGGCGCAGACAGGGTCGGAGCGGAGCTGGGGTGGGGGTGGGGGTACAGCAGGACTCTCCCCGCCCCGCTGCGTCGCCTCCTCCTGCTGGAGCCAGGGCCACTCGAGGACTGCCACCTCCCCGCCCAGAGACCGAAGGACGCGAGCAGAGGGGCTGGGCACCAGTGGCCGAGGGGTCAGTGCCCGGCCTGGCTGGACGCCAGCCCTCCGAGCGCCGCCGCGCCGCACCGCACCCCACCCCCGCTGCGGGCCCCCGAGCCGGGCCCTCCCCAGGGCCGGCTCCTCTCCCCCGGGGCGGCCAGCGCAGAGACGCCGTGCGTCCGAGGGGGCACGGAGGCGGACGGCACTCGCGCCCTGGTGGCCGGGCGGCCGGAGCCGGTGCGGGCGGGTGCAGGGGCGCGCCGGGCGGGTGCGGGCGGTGCGGGCCTTACCCCGCGGGGCTACCGTCGTTGCAGGTCACGGACGTGTTGAGCAAGAGGTGCAGGCGCAGGTCCTCGTTGAGCTGCTGGGCCGAGCAGGGGTACAGGGACTGAGCCAGGCTTTTGACCTGCGCCATGAAGCTGTCCATGTTGCCCTCCACGGCGGTGAAGTCCAGCGGGAAGCTCTCCACCGGCTGCCCCGCCGCGGGGGCGGCCTCGGCACGAGGCGGCGGCGGCGGCGGGGGCGGCTGCTGGCCGCGGCGCCGCCAGGTCTTCCTGCCTTCGCCGCCCCCGGCCCAGTGCAGCAGGCCCAGCAGCAGCAGCACGCGCACCCCTCGGCCCATGGCCCCGCCGCTCGGGCCCGCGGCCACCTGCGGAGAGCGGGCGGCCTTGAGGCGGCGGCGGCGGCGGCGGCGGGGGCGCCGGGCCGGGGGCGCCGGGCCGCGGGGCGCCGGCCGCGCCTGCTCGCTCGCCCCGCTCCCCGCGCTGGGCCCGGCAGAGGAAGCGCGGGCGGCTCGGCGTCGAGGCTCCGGGGGCCGGGCGCCGTCGGCCTGGGCAGCTCGGGCTCCGCGCGCGGCCGGCGAGGGCAGCGCAGGGTCTGGGTGCGCTGGCTCCGGCCCGCGCCAATAAGCGGCGGGGGCCGAGCCTGGGCGTAGTTTGCGGGGGCCGCGACGGCCCGGGTGCCCGCGCGTTAGATGTGCCGCCGCCGCCGCCGCCCGGCTCGGCGGAGGGGGAGGGGGCCGCATTCGCTCTCTTCTTGGCGGAGGCATCGCCTTTTCTTCCCAAACCGCAAGCCTGACGGAGGGGCCTGGCCTACCCGCCGCGGCCGCCGGAGGCGCTCCCGGCCCGGCTCCGTGGGGGGCAGCGCGGCCCCGCGGTCCCGGCAGCTCCATTCCCCGCGGCCGGCCCGGCGCCGCCGCCCCCGCCCCCGGGAGGCTGGAAGGGGCGGCGGGGGGGGGGCGCTGGCGGGAGCGGGGCTTTTCCGCGCCGGGACTCCGCCTGCCGCGCGGGGCCGGGCCCGACGGGCTGGGGGCGCAGGGCGGGCGCGCTCACCTGAGCCGCCGGGCCCCCCTCACCCCGCCGCCCAGGCCCAGAGCAGCCCGCGGGCGACCCGGACCCCGGCCCGCCCCGAACCGGCCCGAGCCCCGCGCTCACCGCGGCCGGCCCCGCGGCCCCGGCTCCTCGGCGTCGCTCGCCCTGCGCCAGCCCGCTGGGACGCCGGCTCGGCTGCGCTCCCCCTCTGGCGCTGGCGCGGAGCCGCCCGGGACTTTTATCCAGCGGGGCCCCCGGGATCAAAGCGACGGCGGACACAGGGCCCCGCGCCGAGGGGCCGGCAGCAGCGGCGCCGGGGCCTCCAGGAGGAGCGGACAGGTGTGGCGCGGGCCCCGGCGCCCTCGGTGACCTGCGGGAGGCACCGGGCGCCCCGGCACGGCGCCACGGGGGAGTCGCCGGGTCCCGCCACCTGGATAGACAGATTCTGGGCGGCGCTGGGAAGCAGTGGGGCGCTGCCACTTACCGAGGTCGGTGGGCCTCGGGGTGGGCTCCTGGATCCTCTCTGCCTGAGCCCTGGCTGAGCGCTCCACCCCAGGGACCCCCAAGAAACTCTCTCCCTGCTCCAGCCACCACTGGGAGGTCAGGGGGCCAGGATCGATGAGCCGCCGGCTTGGTCTCCCCTCGGTGACCTCCAGCCAAGCTAGTTCATCTGCCCCATCAGCTCACCTTCCCGGTGCACCTCACTGAGGACAGAATGAAATTCTTTCTCAGAAATCAAAACGGGGGGTGGGGGGTGGGCAGGTGTTTGCTTAGGAGGCTTCTAGCGGGTGGGTGGGGAGAAAAAAAAGCATTTATTCACCCTCCACACCCACAAAGTGCCATGAACAGCTTTAGCAGACCTTTTCTCCTTAATCCCTCCCATCTACAGTCCGGTGGATGCCATTACACCCGTTTTTAAAGACAGGCCTTGCCTTTAGGGACAGGGGTCCAGAACTGGGGCAGGGCTTCCTGAGCCCCTCTCCTAATTCAGGGCAATGGGGAGGCTGTGTCCTCTGGGGAGCACCTGCAGCCCCTCGTGGGGCAGGAGATTAGAGGCTGCCAGGGGCCCTGGCAGCACCCCCCCAGCCCCCCCCCCCAGACTGCCGTGGGCCCTGAGTGCTCTCTGTCCTCACCAGGCCTGAGGCTGAGGCTGAGCTGCACACACAGCCGGCTGCTCTGGCTGGTCTCCCAGTAAGGCCAAACAGGGCCCCTAACAGCCGATGTTTGGGCCCTTGAGGGGTAGAGATGCTGTGGCAGAGCCCTCGAAACCTAAGATGAGTCTGAGGTGCCCCAGAGGTTGGCCTGGGCGGGGGTCATTCAACCAAGGAGAGGGCAGGCAGGCTGTGTCAGACGCGCGGGTCCTCCCCACAGGCACCTTTAGGGCGGCTGTGTGCCCATTTTCCGGATGAGGGGAACTGAGACTCAGAGAGGCTAACAGAAGTGCTGAGAATGAGTCCTGTTCGTTCAGCAGTCCACACTGGCTGTACCCCTATTGTTGGGTCAGCTTAAAGGTCATACTTGGGACCGGCCGGTCAGAGGCAGTGGCTTCAGACTTCGGTTCCATCTAGAGAATTCCACCTTCCCACCTGGCCCCAGCTGACCTGGGTTTTGGGGAGAACCTGCCCAGGGAGCCCTCTCCCTCCAGGAGCCTGTTATCCCCAGTCCCAGGCAGGGGAGTGCTACTTTCAGCGGGATGGCGTGACCCAGTGGGGTTGTGCTTCACGCGGACCGGGCTCTGAGCCATTTCCTGGCTGGGAGATTCAGGGCAAGGCCTGTGACCCCTCTCTGTGCCTCTGTTTCCTCTTCTTTAAAGTGGGGTAATGACCGTACCTCTATCAGAGGTTCTTTTGTGGGATTACGGGAGCCCATGCGTGAAAGTGCTCGGCACGGTGCACGGCAGGGATGGCAGTTACGATTGCCAACAAAATTCCAGGACAAGGGAAGAGCGTGCATATTATACCCACTGGTGTTTGCTCTAATGTGTCCCAGCCCGCACATTGAACCAAAATGAGTTCCTGTTTTGGTTTGTTCAACATAATTAGCAAAAGCGAACAGCTTTCCCCAGAACTTCCCCGTCCGTCTGTGTCTCCACCTTCCCCATTCCTGCTCCTTTAGAACTGCACCCCTGACCCTGCTGTGGCAATTGGCTGCTCACCCTCATGCTCCCGCAGATGCAGACACTGGCCCTGTCCTTGCGCTCCCGCCCCCCAGGGGCCAGCTTTACCTTCTGCACCCCAGACTCCTCCACTCAGAGTTTTCAACTCCTGGATGCTGGCGGGTCCTCCCAGGACAGCCAGGCCTTCAAGCCGCGCAGCGCTGGGCCTCTGCTTCCAGGCTGCCCTCACCCAGCCCAGAGGCCGCTGTGGCCCTGACCGGTGGGAGGAGGGAAGACCCTCAGTTGAGCAGCAATGGGTCAAATACCACCTCCCAGCCAGTAGGACGACCGTGGTCAGAAGCGGAGAACAGGCGTTGGCGAGGGTGTGGAGAGCCTGGAGCCTGTATGCTGCTGGTGGGAACATAGACTGGGGCGGCCACCGGGGGACACGGTCTGGTGGCTCCACAGTAGCTGAAACAGAACTATCATACGACCTAGCGATTCCACTTCTGGGTATAGTGTCAAAAGGATTGAAAACAGGTGTCCCAACGAAAGCTTGTACGTGGCCGTTCACGGCAACGTTGTGTACAATCGTCTAAGGTGGAAAACCCAAATATCCATCCCCAAATGAATGGATAAACAAAATGCGGTCTATACGTGTAATGCAATAGTCTTCAGACGTAAGAAGGAATGAAGGAGTAACACGTGATCCAAAATGGACGAACCTTAAGAGCGTCACACTGAGTGAAAGAAGCCAGATACAAAAGGCCACATATTTTGTGATTCCACCGTATGAGATGTCCAGAACGGGTAAATCCATAGAGACAGAAAGCAAACTGCTGGTTGCCAGGGGACAGGGAGGAATGGGGAAGGAGTGCTAACAGGTACAAGGTTTCTTTCTGGGGTGATGAGAATGTTCTAAAATTGATTGTGGTGGAAATTGCGCAACATTGTGAATGTACTAAATAATTCTATACTCCCAAGCGGTTAGTTTTATGTTATGCTAATTTTACCTGAAAAAAAAAAACAAACCCTAGAGCTCCAATGAGTCTGGCCCATGGTGGTCACCAGGCTGGACCCCAGGTGGCTGAAGATGTGTGCTGGGTAAACTGAGTTGCCTGGGTTGGAACAGGGTGGGCTGCTCAAGCTCTGGAAATTCTCCTGGGACATGTGATGTGCACACCCCCCATTTGCTCATTACACAGATGTCTGGGGGATCCACATGTTGGGGGATATGGCAGCAGGACTGAGTGCCTGATTTCCCAGCCTGTGGCTGCATCTCTGATCTTTATGTTTCTTATCTATAAAGTGGGGACAAGAATAGTATCTGCCTCCTAGGGTGGTGGGAACATAAAAAGAAGCAGGACCTCCAGAGGCCAGTGAGCGTGTGAAATACGATTGTTATTATTTTGTCATGGACGCTGGCCATCCCTCAGCGACCACGGTAGATTGAGGTCCTGGGTGCAAAGGGCTTGTGGAATGTCTAGAGGGCAGACATTTAGGTTTGGGGACAGACACTTCGGTTTGGGGACAAGGAGCAGGAACAATATTCCAAATCACCTCGCTGCAGTGGCCCGCAGACCAGGGACACCACAGATGCTGGGCGTGGGGCTTGCCCTTCTCTGCCCACTCCCCGCCCCCCCCCCCCCCCCCACGCAGCCACATGCAGTAGACTTCACATTATTCCTGCCTCTTGGCTTCCTGGCTCCCATTCAGGTGGGCAGCAGGTGCTTCTGGCTAAACTTAGATCTGGTGAATGCCCAGCGGCAAGGAAGCTGGGGAAACGAGAACCCAGAGGGGGGCCCTGTTTCCTCAGAAGGGTATCCGCAGATATGGCTTGGGGGTGTGGGGGGCTGGCCCTTGGGGAGGAAGACATGGGGGAGAGCTAGCGACCTCAGATGAGCACACGGTTAACTGATGGGAGTTGTGATCCATGTGTGGACATGTGCGCAGTTCCTGGGAAAAGGTAGAGACTGAACATTTCAGGAAAAAAAAGAGCTAGGGCCCAAGTTGGGGCAGGTTCAGGGCCCAGGCTGGCTGAAGGCACTGGGGGGGAAGGAGGACGGCATGGTGGAGGGCCATCAGCGTTGCAGGGGGTCCCACCTGAAACCCTGCGTGAGGCCCCTTCAGATCAATAATCGGGCCAGAGGGCTGGGCCTGCGGGACCTCAGGCCATCCAGCAGCTATGGACCCAGTGCCCTTCCCCAGATGTGGGACTGCCCTGCACCACAGGGCTGGCTCCCTCCTGGGGCCTCTTGAGGGCCCTGAGACTGGGTTCAGTTGC